TAATTACACTTGATAAGGGTGCACGCACGTCCTGACCGTTGCGATCCCAGGGAGCCTCCTGGTCCTCTCCGTTTGAGTGAAGTCATGTACTCCGAGTGAAATAATATGGTCAAGTGGAGTGTTTTACTCCGAGTGGTTGTTGGCCTCCGAGTGACCTTCAGGTATAGTACATCTGAGATGTGATCTGTCCTAGGGGGCCAGTACACGGTGCATGGTGTCCTTGGGAAGGGTCTATAGGTCAGGCATGTTACCCTATCCCTAGTACATGTCCTCGTCAGGACCCCCACGGGCCAACTACCCAACCCTGACATGGGCTCCAACCTAGATATCCGGCCATTGCCCAGGCGTCTGGATAACATCCTGGAACATCCGGTTCTGCGTGTGCGCAGTTCAACCCAAGTGGCCATGTATCCCTCTTTGTCGCCCCTAATCCGGCTTAGACTATATATAGTCATCCCCTACTACCTCCTCTATAGGGTTAGCAAAGCATATATTAGACTAAATCGAGAGAGATTTTCTCCTTGTACCTCCTTCCCAGGAGAAGAATCCCTCAAAGATTACAAGACCTCCCATGTGGAGAAGGATCTCATCATAGATCATCGAGCCACCTTATCTTCCTTTGGGATTTGGGAAGACTTTGCCCTTGCTACTCTTTTCCCTTTGTTGTTCATGCATCTTGTGCGTCTTGTATATGTTTGCTTTGAGAGTGTATGTGTAACTGGGTATTGTTTTGAGTGTTTCCTTTTGTGATATTGAGTGTTCCTCCCCCCTCCAAGCGTGAATGATTAGGTCACCCTCGGGACTCTACCCCCATATCATCTTGGTATCATGAGCAAGGTTGATCACATCTTGGAGCCCTCTCCCCCCTCACCTTTCTAGCATTTTTTGTTTGTTCTCCCTAAATTCAAAAATTCCCCGCCAAAAATAGCCCTACCAATTTCTTGCAACTTATTGGTTTTGTGAGATTTTATTGATTTGGATCCATATATTTGATGCTTTGCATGTGGATCTAGCCTTCCTACACCTCTCTCCATCCTTTCACCACGAGATCCCCTAACAAAACCACCATATTTATCTTTCCAATGCCAAATTCGAGTTCCACCAGCTCCACTTTTGGCCATGGTTGACCTGCCTAGATCATCCGGATTCGAAGCCCGGACATTCGAACGTTGCCTGGATAATTCGAAACCCAACCCGAACCATCCAGCTCCACTTAAACTGATGCATTTGTTTAATTCTTCGCCTCTCGTGGTTATTTGCAGTTGCGGTTCTTGTTTCCTATGGTGTTTCGACTATTTAGGGACTACATTCTTCAACGCCAACGAATTCGTCACCAGATTCGTGGAAGCCACGACGAGGATGAGGTGCCAATGAGGAGTGGAAATGGCCGCCACTAACGTACCGACAAGGTGCCGACGAGGAGTAAAGGTGGCCGCCGCTGATGTGGCCGATGAGGTTGGGGGATATGTTAGTGCTATCTTGAATAGTCAGTGTTAGAGATATATTTGGGTTACATGTATTTGGTGTATAGGATTTGTAATCCGTTTCCTACCATATCTCCAGGAGAGGTTTCTTGCCCTCCAAGTCTTGTACTCAATATATACTCGCCCTCGATGCTCAATAATACATCAATCATATTACACAGCAATTCCTCTCTCTCCCTTCTAACATGGTATTATCCTAATCAATCCAAACCCTAGCCGCCGCCCGATGCTTATGCTCTGCGCAGCCCCAGGGCGATCGACCTCCATGACCGCCGCCGGGGGCCGCGTCGCCCGTACCTAGGGTTCGTCCGCCGGCCATGTTGACCGGCTGCCCTAGAGAGTCTTTTTCCCGAACCTTTGCTCTGGATTTTTCTCTCTCCCGCCGGTCACCTTGATCGGTATTTTTTTTTGGTTTTTCGATCTATGCTTGATCAGTTTGCGTCGCCCGCCGCCGCCGTCGATCGCCGCATGCCTCTACTTCGACCCCAGCGCGACCTGTCGGCTTCTCCTCCGACCGGCGGCCACGCCGCCATGGCGGCTCGTCAGGGCCAACCGCAGTCCGCGCGTCGGCCCGCACATCGCACTGCGCCGGTCGTCTCCTCCCTGCTCCAACCTGGACTCCTGCATCGCCCCGACCCGGCGGCCTCGCGCCATGGGCGGCCCATCTAGCTGTCGTTTGCACGCCGGCTCGCCCATCGATCCACGCCACCCGCCTTCGCCACATCTGCACGGCGGCCCTGTGGTCTGCCTCGTCGGCCTTGTCCCCGGCTGCATCAGGCCGGCTGCGTCAGGCTCGTCGGCTACCTCAGCTCGGGCACCACTGCTACGTTGGTCGCTCAGGCCTCGCTGCACGAACGCCGGTGCTGTTTTGGCAGCCCGGGTGTCGGTGTTGACGCGCTCGTCCGCACGTCGGCCTCATCTTGGACTCCGCCGCCATCCCGCCTCCACCGAGCGGTGTTCCCGACCTCGCGCGTGATCGGCTTGATCACCCGCTCATCGCTGCGATCCGCTTCATCTACGCCACGCGACCGACCTGGCCCGTTCGTTGTGCATGCCTCCGCAAGTCCGGTGAAGATCGTCACCGAGTTCAGCGCGCCCCTCCATCGATCGAGGAACGGGCAACCGCTGCATCGCCCCGTCAGGCCGTAGCGTCGCCACCCCGTGGTTCTCCTTGTGGCTGCATCGACTCGCGCATCGCTGCTGCGTCGCCCCTTCGGGCCATAGTGCGACGATACACGGTCCCCATCGCCGCCCCCGAGGCCGTCCCCGCGGTTGCACCAACCTGCGCTCCGCCGCTGCGCTGCCCCTTCGGGTTGTAGTGCCGCGGCCCGCGGTCCCCGCTGCCACCCCGAGGTCTTCCGCCGTCGCCCCGACCTACCTGCCGTCGCTGCATCGCCCCTTCGGGTCGTAGCGCCGCGACCCGCGGTCCACCGCCGTCCCCACGTGTCGACCTCTCATGGTATGTGCCGCGCCGCCTCTCTTGGTGCGGGAACGCCTCTGTCCGCGCCGGTCTTCGTCACACTGTTGGGTTTCTCGCCTACTTCGAGAACAGCCGCCGCCCTACTAACCTAGCCGCCGCCGTCGCCGCTCTTCTCTGGCCGCCGCTGCCGCCGCCCGTCCACCCCCTTTGTCTTCGTCCAAGCACCAGCACATCGCCAGTGTCGCTGTCATCTACTCCGAACACTTCATCTACTCCGACCACCGCTGGTAACATCGGCCCCGCGTCGATGGACGCCGCAATCGTTGTCGAGTTCTTCTCTACTGACCCCTTCGACTTCTCCGACATGGCGTATAGCTCGTGCAGGCCCCCGTCTCCGCATGCCCGGTGCTGGAAACACCGATGTGTGCCTTCATCCACGACGTGTCTTCGGGCCTGGCAAGCCTGGTCGGCGCTTCGTTAACTTCGTCTTCGTCCGTCTACGTATGCGCGGTGCTGGCAACACCGATGCGTGCCTTCGTCTACGACGTGTCCCCGGGTTTGGCACACTCGGTGTGACGCCTCATCGACACCATCCTCCTTCCGGCGCACGACTACCTCGACACCACTGCGTCCATGACTAACTCGGCGCCTCCTTGCGCCCGCAGCTCCACGGCGACTCCCTCGACACGGCTACCCCGACTCGACATCGACCACAGCGTGCTTCGCACGGCTACCTTGACCACGGCTCCACCACCCTATGCTCTCGGCTACCTCTGACATCGACACAAAGGGTTATCATCCGCTTGAGCAACTCGTCGGCTTCCTCTACAGTCAACGCGTCCGCGACGCGACACTGTCCATGACGCTCCCGCTACGACTGCAGGGGGATGTCAGCCCGCCGGCTGCTATTCTCTCCAGTCTGACTGTCCGCGACGCTCCTGTTGTCTGCAACGCTACCGCTACGACTGCGAGGGGATGTTAGAGATATATTTGGTTTACATGTATTTGGTAGTCTAAGATTTGTAATATGTTTCCTACCATATCTCCAGGAGAGGCTTCTTGCCCTCCAAGTCTTATACTCAATATATACTCGCCCTCGAGGCTCAATAATACATCCATCATATTCCGCAACAATCCCTCTCTCTCCGTTCTAACACTCAGGTCTCTTTACGGTGCGGATCAAAGTTTTTTTTGCATTCGTGCGAATTCAGGAGGCATGTACTTACTTCCTCCGTCCCACAATGTAGTGCGCCCGCGCTTCCTAGATCTAAGTTTGATCATATATTTAACCAATGAGATCAAATGCGCCGGCAGCAAAAATTATACCACTGAATTAGTATCGAGATGGCGAATTCAATGATATAATTTTTACTCCCGTCGCAGTCGGTCCCATTATTTAAATATGTGGTCAAATTTAGATTTTAGGAAACGCGGACACACTACATTATATATTGTGGAATGAAGGGAGTATCGTTTTTGTGCGTGAAAGGAAGTGCCGTGAAATCAAAACGAGGAGAGGGGACGTGTGGAGGCAACGGGGAGGGGACGATCTTTTGTTGCCAGGTGGCCCGGGCGCAGGATCTGGTGGTCGTGGCGCGCGCTCGGCCTCGGCGTCCAGACGAGAGGCCACCGGCGAATATCTCCCCCCGCCAATGGCCTCCCGCCCTCACTCACCCTATCCTCTCCTCCCCCTCCGGCCCAGCTTCTCCACTGCAGTAACGCAGTAAAACCAGCGCGCGCAGCAGTGGAGCCGGCCGCCGCTGCCGCTGCCACCGCACGCACGAGCGCACTGTTAATAGCCTCTCCGTCTCTCTCTCTCTCTCTCTCTCTCTCTCTCGGCGTGTGGTGTCCATTGAGCTTCTAGTTTACTAGTACGCTAGTACTCCGTACTTGGTTATTGTCTCCGACGCCCGCGCCGTCGTCTTCCTCTTCCTCCCCTTCCCCTTCCCTTGATTCTTCGTCGCTTCCGCCTGCCGCCCCGCGCCGCCGCACAGGTACGAGCTTCCTATCTCTTCTTTCTCTGTTTCTTGAAACACAGTGTTTTGTAATCCCTCGCCGCGCTCATACGGCGCAGATAACTAAACGGGTGGCGAGACATGACGGCGACGCCTGCCTTGATCGGGCTGAGCGCAGGCAACCGCCTTCTCAGCACGTCCTTCGGGCCGCCCAACGACCTGCTCTCCGACAAGGTCAACTGCCACATGAGCAGCGCGGCGGGAGACGCCCACGGCTCCTCCTCGCTGCAGTTCGCGCCACCGGCCGCGTCCAAGCTCACCGTCGCCGCGCACAGGCTCAAGCTCTCCCCACATGGCCGCGCGCAGGTCATGCGGGCCCTCAGGCAGAGCGCGCCTGCGCTCGCGCCGCAGCCTCCTCCGTTGTTGCCCGCCGACGAGTTCTCCCTCGATGCCATTATCCTACTGCAGAGGTCCATGCTCGAGAAGCAGTGGCAACTCCCCTTCGAGGAGGAGGAGGACGACGACGGCGGCGGCGATGGCCACCATGTGGAGGCCATTGGTTCGGCCGAGGACGATGACGGCAAGGGCAGGAGCAGCTCCGTCGTCGTGGCGCGCTCCGGCGTCTCGGCGAGGCAGCGGCGGATGAGCGGCCGGAGGCGTGGGAGGTCCAAGAAAGGCAGCGGCGCCGTGCACCTGATCATCAGCCCCGAGCTGCTGCAGAGCAGAAACCGCATCTACCTTCACGGTACCGTCAGCAAGGAGCTCCTCACGCACAAGCAGGTTGTCCACCTCTCCAAGAAGATCAAGGACGGGATATGGCTGCAGCAGCAAAGATCAAAGTATGGGATGGGAGTGCTCTTCCCCAAATTTAGTGATCCATTCAACCAACATAGTACTATATGCTTCTTCTCCGAATCCGAAATCAAGAACCATTGTCACTGCTGCTTTGCGTTGTGCTATGAAGTTGACACTTTTGCCTAACCTCTGAGTCTCAAACATTGATTCAGGCTGAAAGAAAAACTGGGGAATGAGCCGTCGTACAAGCAGATGGCGCAATCACTTCGGATATCGACGCCGGAGCTACGGTCAAGAATGCGCGAGTCGTTCCTCGCGAGGGAGGTGCTAACAATGAGCAACATCCGTTTGGTCATATCCATCGCCCAGAAGTATGACAAGCTGGGGGTTGAGCTGTCCGACCTGATTCAGGTAATCACATCCTCCTGTTCATGGGCATTTGTTTCACTAGGACAGTTAGCATGTTTCACAAAAATCAACATGTAACATGTTGGGCAATTTGGCTGGTGATTCAGGGTGGTCTCATAGGGCTACTCCGCGGGATCGAAAAGTTCGATGCATCCAGGGGCTTCAGAATTTCCACTTATGTATACTGGTGGATTCGTCAGGTGAGACCTCTTTGCTCATCTCATCAGTACGTACTAACGAGAGAATCTTTGCACTCCTTATCCATTCATTACTTTCCTTGTTACCAGGGTGTTTCAAGAGCACTGGCCGACAACTCGAAAACATTCAGGCTCCCTACTTACCTGCATGAGAGGCTGATTGCGATTCGTGGCGCAAAGTACGCATTGGAGGACCAAGGGGTTTCTCCGACAACGCAAGTAGGGCGGACTACTAGTTTTATTTGCGTGAAGCATTTCAAGCGGCATGATTTTGTGTGTGTTCATCATGTTGCTCTGTTACTTCTTCTCTAACCTTTCGTCATTGTCCTTAGAACATCGCAAAGTTGCTCAATATATCGGAGAAGAAAGTGCACAATGCTGCAGAGGTATTTACATATTTATCGTCCCATGTATGATTTCTTATGTTTAGCCCTTTTACACCTTTGGGCTTCTCACAATGATTTTGCATCTTCAAAATGCAGGCTGTCAATAAGGCTCTTTCGTTGGATCAACAGGCATTCCCCTCCTTAAATGGCCTACCCGGAGATACACTCCACAGCGTAAGCTGTTACACTACCACACAATAAATACCACCAAAATACTTTTTCACGATGAAATATTCCTCGGGGTTAACTTTGATTTCCTCCTCCACTCATTCTCAGTATATAGAGGATCAAAATGTTGCGAATGACCCATGGCATGGATTTGAGGAGTGGTACCTAAAGGTAACCTTTATTGCTATTGTTGTTCGCTTCCTCGTGATTTTCAGTCATCTTAAGATTCTGCTGATACCAGGAGGAAGTCAACAAACTTCTAAACTCAAATCTCACTGAACGTGAGAGGGACATTATTCAGTTATACCATGGTATAGGGAAACAATGCCATACATGGGAGGATATTAGCAGACAGTAAGTATTACTTCTTCAACTGAACAAGAACTTTTGCCATGCCCTGCGCTTATTAATTGCTGTCAAAAGCAAATGCCATCAAGGCAACATCACAATTTTCTGATTCCTTTTTCTGCCAAGGTTATTTTATGTCACAATCAAGTATTTGTTCGCCTGAAAATGTTTTGAAATTTCCGCATACAATGTTCATAACATCGACATGTTTTCCGACAAAGGGTGGATTTTATTAGCTAAAAATGGAGCATCAAGAGGATACAGACATGACCATTACTAACTGAACCACAGTTCTTTCTTGCCACATGATAGTCTAATCCTGATCTTTGAAACATTCTTCAGGTTCGGGTTATCCAGGGAGAGGGTGAGGCAACTAGGGCTTATCGCAATGGAGAAGCTGAAGCACGCCGCGAGGCAGAAAAAGCTGGATGCGTTGCTCCAGGATTACTGAGCTGAGGTGTTTTTCATGTTGTGCTGGACCGGATCCATACACGCAGTGGTTGTATATACTCGAAAAGAGAGAGCGACAACACAGGTTACATCATTGAAAGGCTTCTACTGCCACTCACTTGCAGATAATCATACATGTACATTTTGTGACAATAGGCATGCAATGATCAAAGTCTCAATGCCACATTTTCCTTGGAAGCCGTTCAAGTATTCTGTATTGTATATATAGTGAATGCCTCATGTAGCTTGGTCAAATAGAGCAAGACCTATCTCATGAATCTTTCTCCTTTGTTATTGGTATGGCTTGCTATCTAAAACTTTGTTGTTCTGCTGAAGTATGTTGCCCTTATGACAAAGCAGAGGATACGAGAGCGATCTAGCGTTCGCGACCTAGTGATCTAGGATACTGGCGGTTAAGCCGTGCGCCCGCCAGGGATGGAGACGTCGGGGCGGTTCTTCATTGGTCATGACGGTGTTCCCCTTGTTCATCTAGGGTTCGGCCACGGCCGCCTTCGATCTGCATGTCGTTGCTGGAGATGATGGCGGCGGTGGGGCTTTTCCTTCATCGTGGCCCCTGGGTAGTTCATCTAGGGTTCGGCCACGGCTGCCTTCAATCTCCCCGTCGCTGCTAGAGATGATGACGGTGGTGGGGCTTTCCCTTCATATTTGCCCCTAGGCGCGACTATGTCAAATCTCGCGCGGGTCTTTGGAGCCGTACATCGGCCTGAGGGACCAGTGGATGGCTTCGATGGAGGACAATGGTCTCCGCATGTTCTCATGCGGTGGCCAAGGTGGACCAGCATGGGTGGATGGCTTCGATGGAGGACACTGGTCTCCGCATGTTCTCATGCGGTGGCTAAGGGGGACCAGCATGGCTTCTACCGCATCATATCGACGAGTCTTGGTGACGGTACCAAATCCGGCAGATCTCGGGTAGGGGGTCCCGATCTGGTAGCCTTGGCTAGATGGTAACAAGACACAAGGGAGACATCGATGTTTACCCAGGTTCGGGTCCTCTCAAAGAGGTAAAACCCTACGTCCTGGATAGCGTTTTTTGGATGAAGTATTAGTAGTACATGCAGTTGGATTAATGCTCTACTTATCACGGACGTAATTCCTATATGGGATTATGCCATGAATGATCATAGTCATAAATATTACAATCTTTTCAATTGCCCAGCTATAATTTGTTTACCATGCCATTCGCCTGTTTGAGAGAAAGATGCCACTAGCGATTCTATGCCCCCCTGTTCTACTCTCCATTAATAAATTCTTCTACAAAAATTGCTCTTTTATTTTTCGTTTCACTCCACTACTATCTATCTCTATTTCCTTTTAATCTTGTAACTAGCAAGACAAGGGGCTTGACAACTCTTTGCCATGCTGGCTGCAAGTTTTAATTGTGTTTGTGTGCAGGTGTTATTTATTTTGTTAGCTTAGAGGCTTTTACTGGTTTGATAAACCTTGGTTTTTAATTGAGGGAAAACTATGCTGTTGTTCCCCTTCACCCTTCCTGTTTGGGAAACCCAACGCCTCCCGCGGGAGTAGAAAATAAATTTCTGGTGCCGTTGCCGGCGAGTCTTCTACTACCAAATCAAGTGCCTTCACACAAACCGTTTATTTACTTGCTTTATTTTTTTCCTAGTTACTTTTGCTTCTTGCTTTGCTTACCAAAAAATTCCAAAATACCAAAAATACCTTGTGCTGCTATTCTTGCTTTTTGTTGCTATCATGGTTAGTTCTTCACTTGTTTTTTCCACGCCTGAGTGAGAAATGCTTAATTTTTAACAAAGGAGCGGAGAGAGTTTAAAAGATTCTTGGTACATAATTTGTGATGCTCAAAATATATCTACTCATAAGCAATTTACCACAATTCTTCTTAAAAAAATTATGTTGGCATTACTAGTTGGTATAGGTTTGTCATTGATACTTGTTGGGAAACGTTGCATGGAAAACAAAAAAAATTCTACGCAGACGCAATGATATATCTATGGAGATGCATAGCAACAAGGGGGAGAGTATGTCTACGTACCCTCGTCGACCGTAAGCAGAAGCTTTTGACAACACGGTTGATGTAGTCGAACATCTTCTAGCTTCGACCGATCAAGCACCGAACGTACGACGCCTCCGAGTTCTGCACATGTTTAGCTCGGTGACGTCACTCGCCTTCTTGATCCAGCAAGGTGCCGAGGTAGTAGACGAGTTCCGTCAGCACGACAACGCAATGACGGTGATGGTGAAGTGATCCGCGCAGGTCTTTGCCTAAGCACTAGAAGATATGACCAGAGGCGTAAACTGCAGAGGGGGGCGCCGCACATGGCTAATAATTAGTGTTGTGTGTTCTAGGCGCCCCCCTAGTGCCGGCCTCCTCTCCCTACCTCCTTTATATACGGGGGGCGCCATTAGAAGACAGAAGAATTTCTCTAAGCAGTGTGCGGCGCCCCCTTGCTACCTCTTGAGCACTGCGTTGGTTTTCCCATGAAGAGGAAAGGGTGATGCAACAAAGTAGAGTAAATATTTCCCTCAGTTTTTGAGAACCAAGGTATCAATCTAGTAGGAGGCTCCACGCAAGTCCGTCGTACCTACACAAACAAACAAGAACCTCGCAACCAACGCGAGAAAGGGATTGTCAATCCCTTCACGGCCACTTGCGAAAGTGAGATCTGATAGAGATAATAAGATAAGATAAATATTTTTGGTATTTTTATGATATAGATTGGAAAGTAAAGATTGCAAAATAAAGATAGGTTGGAAACTTATATGATGGAAAATAGACCCCGTGGCCCTAGGTTTCACTAGTGGCTTCTCTCAAGATAGCGTAAGTATTACGGTGGGTGAACAAATTGAAGGAAATATGCCCTAGAGGCAATAATAAAGTTATTATTTATTTCCTCGTATCATGATAAATGTTTTCATGCTAGAATTGTATTAACCGGAAACATAATACATGTGTGAATACATAGACAAACATAGTTTCACTAGTATGCCTCTACTTGACTAGCTCATTGATCAAAGATGATTGAGTTTCCTAACCATAGATATGAGTTATCATTTGATCAATGGGATCACATCATTAGAAGAATGATGTGATTGACTTGACCCATTCCGTTAGCTTAGCACTTGATCGTTTAGTATGTTGCTATTGCTTTCTTCATGACTTATACATGTTCCTATGACTATGAGATTATGTAACTCCCGCTTACCGGAGGAACACTTTGTGTGCTACCAAATGTCACAATGTAACTGGGTGATTACAAATGTGCTCTACAGGTGTCTCCGAAGGTACTTGTTGAGTTGATGTATTTCGAAATTAGGATTTTTCACTCCGATTGTCGGAGAGGTATCTCTGGGCCCACCCGGTAATGCACATCACTATAAGCCTTGCAAGCAATGTAGCTAATGAGTTAGTTGCGGGATGATTCATTACGTAACGAGTAAAGAGACTTGCTGGTAACGAGATTGAACTAGGTATTGAGATACCGACGATTGAATCTCGGGCAAGTAACATACCGATGACAAAGGAAACAACATATTTTGTTATGCGGCTTGACCGATAAATATCTTCGTACAATATGTGGGAGCCAATATGAGCATCCAGGTTTCGCTATTGGTTATTGTCCGGAGACGTGTCTTGGTCATGTCTACATAGTTCTCGAACCCGTAGGGTCCGCACGCTTAAAGTTTGGTGACGATCGGTATTATGAGTTTTTGTGTTTTGATGTACCGAAGGTAGTTCGGAGTCCCGGATATGATCACGGACATGACAAGGAGTCTCGAAATGGTCGAGACGTGAAGATCGATATATTGGATGACTATGTTCGGACACTGAATAGTTTCGGAAGGTTTCGGACATATACCGGAGTACCGGGAGGGTTACAGGAACCCCCCGGGGGTTTATTGGGCCTCATGGGCCCTAGTGGAGAAGAGGAGGGGCGGCTAGGGCAGGCCGTGCGCCCCCTCCCCCTCTAGTATGAATAGGACAAGGAGCGGGGGGGGGGGGCTTTCCTTCCTCTCTCTCTCTCTCTCTCTCTCTCTTCCTTCCCCTCTCCTACTCCAACAAAGAAAGGAGGAGTCCTACTCCCGGTTGGAGTAGGACTCCCCCCTTGGCACGCCCTCCTCCTGGCCGGCCGCCTCCCCCCTTTCTCCTTTATATACGGGGGCAGGGGGCACCTCTAGACACAACAATTGATCATTGATCTCTTAGCCGTGTGCGGTGCCCCCCTCCACCATATTCCACCTCGGTAATATCATAGCGGTGCTTAGGCGAAGCCCTGCATCGGTAGCATCATCGACACCGTCATCACGCTGTCTTGCTGATGAAACTCTCCCGCAAAGCTCTGCTGGATCGGAGTTCGTGGGATGTCATCGAGTTGAACGTGTGCTGAACTCGGAGGTGTCGTACATTCGGTACTTGATCGGTCGGATCGTGAAGACGTATGACTACATCAATCGCGTTGTGCTAACGCTTCCGCTTTCGGTCTACGAGGGTACATGGACAACACTCTCCCCTCTCGTTGCTATGCATCACCATGATCTTGCGTGTGCGTAGGAATTTTTTTGAAATTACTACGTTCCCCAACAGTGGCATCCGAGCCTGGTTTTATGCGTAGATGTTATATGCATGAGTAGAACACAAGTGAGTTGTGGGCGATACAAGTCATACTGCTTACCATCATGTCATACTTTGGTTCGGCGGTATTGTTGGATCAAGCGGCCCGGACCGACATTACGCGCACGCTTACGCGAGACTGGTTCTACCGACGTGCTTTGCACATAGGTGGCTGGAGGGTGTCAGTTTATCCAACTTTAGCTGAACCGAGTGTGGCTACGCCCGGTCCATGAGAAGGTTAAAACAACACTAACTTGACGAAATATCGTTGTGGTTTTGATGCGTAGGTAAGAACGGTTCTTGCTCAGCCCGTAGCAGCCACATAAAACTTGCAACAACAAAGTAGATGACGTCTAACTTGTTTTTGCAGGGCATGTTGTGATATGATATGG